TCTGCATTTCCTGCCTCCCCTCCCCTCGCCCCTCTCCCTGCTGCTCAGCAGTGCCGACATCGGGGCACTTTCGGGGGGATGCAGTGAATTCCAGCCGGAGCCCCCGCAGGCTGGCCGCTCTCTGCTATTCTTTCAGGGCTCCAGCCCTACTCTCTCTGCAGGAAACAGAGGAGCTGATCCAAGTTCAAAGTCACGTCGCCGACCCTCCTAAGAAGTGCTTTATTTGCCTCTGAACCGCAAAACCCCTTTCCCCCATGTCACAGGGTAACAAGGGAAAAGAGCGAGGGAGGAAGGGAAAGAGGGAGGGGGGCAGAGGCACCGGCAGCCAGCCCCGCACTCTCTTGTCCGGCCACCGCCACGAACATAGCCTGCGGCTCACGGCAGCTTTAGAGGGAGGAAAGCAAGCGGTCACCCAAAGTCGGTGMTAAACTGGTTTATTGAAAGAAGTTTTTCAACAGGTTTCTGGAGCTGCCAGACATGCAGAGCAAACGACAACCTCCCCGAGAAAGCTTTCCCATCTTTGTAAGTTTTCCGATATGCACTGTAAAACTGCTCTGATCTTGTTCTTACCGGCGGGTGATGCGGAGGGAGCTGGTGGGGGGCGGGACGAGGCGAGAGCAATTTCTTGCTTCCCCTGGACTGTATATGGCTTCTCGCCCCTTTTCCCGGGAGGTGTCACCGCCCTCTGGGAAGGCTCCGCGCCCCGTTTCTCAATCCCCCCAGCCATGGATGCTGCCGTGGGGGCCCAGGCTGAAGTGGGGCCGGGGGCTCTTCCCATGGGAGGATGTGGCTAGCGACGGCCTCGTCGGGAAAAAGAGGCAGAAGGACCCACCCGAGACGGGTGTGTGCGTGTGTGCGCGTGTGCGTGAGAGACACAGAAAAGGGGAACAGGGTGTCTTTCCCCAAAAATTCAGCCTTCTCACGGAGTAACAGGACGAGGTGAGGAGGGCCAACCCATAGCCTGGGAAGAAGAGGCCAGTTGAGCGGCATCACTTGCACCGTTGTCTGTATCACAGACACTCATAAATTCAACAAGCTCATCAACAGGATATTAAGTTGCAGGTTACCTTTGATGGTACCGATCCGAGCCACTTCTAGGCCGTTCGACCTATGACCCGTGAAGACCACATGTGTTGCGCTGTAGCCTCCCTCTGTAAAACACACACTTCGAGACAAAAGTTCTTTGTCAGGCTATACCGGCAGAGTAATGTAAAAGAAAAAGGGGAAATAATGAAAATCTCAGCCAAAGCTGTAACTTTTTAATGCTTCT